TCTTGAGGTGGAGGGGAAGTTTTTAGCGATGGAGGTGTCTATGGACTGAACTTGTGGTGGATCCATCTCTGTACAAATGATTCTACAGGAAGTGAATGTCTTGGGTGGCCTTGTACCTCGAGTGTGGGGAACAATTCCAAGCAGGGAGGTATTGGCATAACGAATAAACACGATCACACGGAGTTCTTCGTGGCCGGAGTTTTTTTTTGTTTTTTTTTTTTAGGGAGGTTCGTCGAACTGTTGATGCTACCCCTTCGCCGGAGTTCTCTTTCTTTTGTAGAAGTCACCGCTCAACCCCTTCGCCGGAGTTCTTTTCTCTCTTTTTTTGTAGAAATCACCGCTCAACCACCAACGCCGCCAGAGCCGCTGGAAATCATTGACGGAGCCTATACTTCCCGTCAAGGCTGTCGTCGGAATCATCGGAGCCTACTGCCGGGTTGCCATAGCCGACTAAGTAGAAGCCGAGCTCTAAATATTTAAGATGCCTTCTTGGCTTTATGGGAGAGGGCTTGATTTTAGGTTGCAAAGATTTAGTTATCCATGGTTTTAAAGCTTTGAGCTTCTGTTTCACGTGATGGCGCAGGACGCCAGACTGCTGCAACATTTATTGGGAAAACAAACTAGACATTGCTTAAGGGGACCCACCTGTCACTTGTCAAATTTGCAGCACAACGACACCATTCAACATATGCTCTACATATTCTAGCTTTGGCTTTGTTTTTTTTTTTTTTTTTCCCTTTCAATCTTTTGCTTTTCGTTTTTTTTTTTTTTTGCCTATTTTTCCTTCTTTTCATTTTGTTTTTCGTTTGGTTTTTTTTTTTTTTCCTGTTTAACTTTCTGTTTCGTTTTCTTTTGTTTTGTTTTTATCTTCTTTTCTTTCTTTCATTCTTTCTGTTGCGTTTTTTTCCTTTGGTTTCTTTTGCTTTGTTTCTTTTTTTTTTTCCCTTCAATATTCTGATAACAATTGTAATAACATAATATAATAATAATAATACTAATACAATAATAATAATGATAAGAATAATAATAATATGCAATGTATTAACATATGTAGTCCACATGTAGTATATGTATACAACGTTTTATTCATAGACCATGGTCCATAAAATTGTGTAGACCATAGTCCAAAAAAAAAATAAAAATTTGCCATATATAATTCGTCAATTTAATTTTGTGTTATGTATATGCTATATATTTGTGCATAATATATCATAGTTATTATTATTTTTTTTGCAGCGACTTTTCGACTTTGACACATTCAAGATGGTGTACTTTCAAGATCAACAACGTAACGGGCAAGATGTCATGATGATATCGAGCAAAAATAGCGATCATCAAGTCACACTGACGGTTAAGCCACCCGTAGTAATACGTGACCCGCCAAAGCTCACGGTGTCGTATCACGAGAGTAACTGGACCCCCGAGTATGAATGCCCGCCATCCAAGGTGTGGACCTTGCTACCCGGAATGCAACACCAACCTTCCAAAGATGCCCTTCCTACACTGGGGCATCGTATACTTAACGTTGAGGTCTCGTGGGGCCAAGACATAGACTTCGAGGGCGAATTCACTTTTCTAAAAGGATATTGGGAGTGGGTTGAAGAAATACTTCAATTCTCCCACGACACCTTAAAGGATGGGAAGATATATGATGCTGTGTATGCGTCATTGTTTACGTACGATAGTAACATCAACATCGTCAAAGCCTTCTGCGAAGCATGGTGCCCGCGCACCAATACCCTGATCACCTCGTCTGGTGAGGTGAGCATATCGCCTCGGGATTTGTACATTCTTGGGGGACTACCACTGTCCGGCGGTATGTATGACGAACACATCCCGAGTGCCCTGGACCTAAAAAGGGGCCCAAACAAGTGTTGTGCAAGCTTATTCGAGGCCTTTTATCTCTTAAACCAGCAAGAAAGTGGCACCTCCTACGTTCAAGCATCGCGATGGATTGACTTCTGGTGCAGAAGACCGCGAACACATCCAGCTCCTCAACCTTCATCTCAAAAGGACAGGAGATCCCGGCCAAAGAATACCCACAACCCAAGCGGAGAACTTAACACATCCATCAGGTGGTTAGATGTGAGCAGGACGCCCTTTCTCGAACTAGGCATTTCCCGGCGTTTCGAAAAGGAAGCTTACTTAGCCGCGTTCTTATCTTGTTGGCTTTGCGTGTTTGTCCTTCCAGGTACACCAACAAGAACCATTCGCCCAGAGACTTTCAAGATAGCATGCATGATGGCTAGAGGAGATAAGATATGTCTTGCGGCTCCAGTACTTGCTAGTATCTATTCCGGTTTAAACTCAATCTCGGAATCCCACTCTCCTGGTCAAATAGGGGATCCTTTTCCAATCCATTACGTGTACGGTTGGTTAGCAACTTACTATCAAACCCACTTTAAGACCCCTAACCTCACGTTAGTAAACCCAAAAATGGTCACTAATTCTGGAGAAGGTGGTGCAAGGTATTACAACGAGATGGATGCCCGTAAGAAGATATTCAAAGGGGACGTTTCCTGGCTCTGCAACTCCCGCAAGGATAATAGAGATTTTATCTTTTACGACGACCGTAAAGGGAGTAGAGAAGACTTTGAGTACTTCATATGTTTGCGCCCCAGCTTCCTCGTATTGCGTCGAGGGTCTCAATGCAAAGCTGAGCCTTACATGCCGCATCGCTTCAGTCGTCAATTTGGATTCTATCAAGCATATGCCCCCGGCTTGTTGGCGAAGGATGTCCGTTATGTTTCACTCACCGAAGGATTCCGACTCCATCGCCAATATGAAAATATCAACTCCCAATCCAGGGCGACATTTCCCGTGAGCCCGGCTGCTCCAAAGAAGCATTTTTCGAACGAGTACAAAGCCTCGTTGATCGATGTGAGTGCAAACCTTCTCGAGAATCGTTTCACAGATATAGTTGTTAACGAAAACCCAAATGTACCTGTTGGGCAGGAAAGAACTGAGGAACAAAGACACCAGTTGACCACCTCGAGGAACAAAACAACACCTGCACAAGAGGACATGTCACCTCGGGATGAAGCCTCAGGACATGCCGTCCGAAGGAGCAGGGAGGGGCAAGCGAGGCAGCGAAGCTCGGACGAGGATGCTGGTAGTGATCAAGATCGCTGTTGGAAACGGCCCAGAGGGAGACGATCGAGCCAGGTTAAGCTATCTCCCAAAATTCTTTTGTTTTGTATATCGTTGAACTTTGGCCTTTGTTAACGTACATGCACTACTTCTTACAAGATCTTGCCGAGCCACATGTTAGCAACGATGTCCAGTCATCAAATCACCAATCTTCAATGGGACAAAGTGGCGGACGCTCTAATACCCTTGAGCTCGAGGTAGAATCCCACCAGCCAACGCCGCCTTTAAACACAACTCCTCAGGAGACGCAGCCAGAGCCGTCCCAAGCCTCTATCTTCCCCGGCGAGGAGTAGTTTATATCACAGTACATGGCTTTCATCGCCGGAGTTTGGAGTAGTATCTGCAGGAAGCTTAATGAGATTCCAGCTGAAAAAATCTCTTCTTACCAAGGAAGCGTTGAAAGACAACTCCAAGAAATGGGACGGGACGGGGTGGACCTATCAACATTGAAGCTAAGAGTGGCCGAGTTCTTTAATAAAGCCAAAGGTTACGATCGGGAGCGGTCGCAGCTGTCGAATGCACTGCCCGTTGAAACCCAAGCCGCGAAGCTAGTTCTAAAGCAAGGTGTCCTTATAGAAGCTCAACAGAAGTGTTCTCAAACCGAAGCGCTTTTTCTTGCCGAACAGAAAACCCTTGGCGACGCAGCCGATCGAAAAACCATCCTGAAGAAAGCGATAAAGGATGCGCAGGAAGAGCTGAAAGCGATTGAAGCCAAGGACCCGGAACTCCAAGACCGAGTGACAAAGGCTCAAGAACAACATAACGCATCGCAAGAGGCCGTGACCACCGCTGAGGAGGAAGTTAAACGTATTCGAGACTGCCCCACGTTGACGGATGAAGACGAAGAAAGACTTACTTCAATCAAAAGAGAGCTGGAAGCGTATAAGGAAGATCTCATGAGCTTTAGAATACTTTAGATGTTTTTTTTTTTTTTTTTGCTTAATTCTTTGATTTTCCATTTGTTTACTTGTTTTCGTATTTCGGCTACTTTGTATGAGTTCACTCGGAAACAAGGCTTGAATATGACTTGAATTTTCTTCTTCTTTTTTTTTTTTTTTTTTTTTTTTTGTTTCAACAATACTTGCAAACTATTTTGTCGATTACAAGTGCAAAAGAGTGTACTTGGAAGAAAGCAACTTGAACATAAGCGTGAACAAGAACAGCTAAGTCTACACCCAAACGAGTCACTTTAAGTAGAAATCTGCCCAAAGAATTTACTCTTAATTACAACATGAACGGAGAGGACTAAACTCCCATACATCTACATCGTTTTGAACAAACGTAACACAAAGGGGTTTATTTTAGTTATGACTGAACTCAGAAGGAGTGTTTCTAAGCTGCCTACGTACTCCTGCAAAGGAGATCAAGTCAAGCGTAGTTCAAAGGACCATTTGAATAGGTAGGGCCGTTCACATTTTAAACTCATGCGGGCCAGGAGTTTACCGTACACAGTTTAAGCTCGTGCGGGTCAGGAGCGTCTATGACTTGGACCCACTCATAGACAAGCGAGAAGTTTTAGCAGTTTAACCACGTACTACATTTTTGGTGGATATCATTCATCAACTAGTCCCGTGTGCTTAAGGGTGATAGACCTTTAAGAATTTCCCGTTAAGAGGGCCAACTCGCACACCATTTTCATCAATTAGCTTGTAAGCACCTCCTGAGTATGCTTCTTGTACCACGTAAGGTCCATCTCATTTTGGAGTAAACTCATGCCCAGTTTTCCTTGTAATAATGATAGGCCTACGAACCGCCAACACCTTGTCACCCACCTGAAATGAGCGAATCCTTACCCTCTTGTTGAAAGCTCTAGAAATTCGAGCTTGATAGCATTCTAAACTTTGTTGAGCCTACAACCTCTTCTCGTCGAGAGCTTCTAACTCTGCCAACCGCAACTTTACATTATCCTCGTCTGTAAGGCCTTCTTGGATAGCTAACCTTAGAGAAGGTATTTGGCGTTCAAGAGGCAAAACTGCTTCAACCCCATATACCAGTGAGTATGGAGTGCTTTGTGTTGGTGTACGGTATGTAGTTCTGTATGCCCACAGTGCTTCTTCCATCCTCTCTTGCCAATCACGTTTTGACTTCGACACCACCTTTTTCAGTAGATTGCATAGAGTTTTATTAAAAGCCTCGGCAAGTCCATTTGCAGCTGCATAATAAGCTGATGAATTTCTTTGCTCGAACTCAAAAAGTTTGCAGATTTTATCCATCAATTTATTATCAAATGGTTTCCCGTTGTCGGTTAGGATGTACCGAGGGATGCCAAAACGATAGATAATGTGAACTCGGATGAAATCTGCAACATTTTCCTTCTTCACCTCCTTTAAAGCCACTGCTTCAGCCCACTTTGAGAAATAATCGGTGGCTGCTAATATATACGAATGCCCTGCTGATGATTTGGGTGTAATAGGACCAACCACATCGAGCCCCCATGCATCAAATGGCCATGATGCTACCGTTGGATGTAGCGGTTCAGGAGGTTGAAGGATAAAGTTCGCATGGAATTGACATGCTTGACATCTACGTGCATAGTCTATGCAATCCTTCACCATCGTAGGCCAGTAGTAACCCATCCTTTTGATGTGAAAATGTAACTTAGGACCAGATTGATGAGCACCGCACAATCCAGAGTGAGCCTCCTCCATCGCTTGTAATGCTTCCTCTTCACCTAAACATCGAAGAAATACACCATCAAACGAGCGCCGATATAACGCATCCTTGAAATATATGAAGCGAGGAGCTCGACGTCTTACATTTACCCTCCTACGAGGGTCTTGAGGTAACTTCCCATCAACAAGGTAGTCAATCAATGATTGCCTCCAATCCTCTTTATCTACCTCATAGACAGAAGCAGTCGGGAGTTCAACAATGTCGTCAAGAGAGCCATCGTCTTCAAAGATTGGAGGGACCACCCATTTTTGGCACACGCGCAACCGAGCCTCATCTATAGGATGGGATACAGTTAAAGCTAAAGCAGCTAGGGCATCGGCTTGCTTATTCTGTTTCCTCGGGATGTGTTCAATTGTAGCATCTCCTAGCCAACGCAGGAGCATTTTTGCGTAACTGTTGTATGGAATCAACTCTGGTTTTTTTACTTCATAAACCCCAAGTACTTGGTTGAAAATCAGCTTGGAGTCCCCATATATATTAACCCTTAGCTGCTTCATATCAGCTGCAATTTCAAGTCCCAAAATGAGTGCTTGATACTCGGCAACACTGTTCGAGCAGAGTTCCGTCAAGGTAAATGAATAAGGAAGCACTTCCCCTTCTGGCGCAACAAAGACAACCCCAGCGCCTGCCCCCTCTTTGTGTGCCGCTCCATCAAAGTACATCTTCCATGGAGGTAAAACTTCAACCACAAGCACATCCTCATCAGGTAGGTCACTGGACAACTCCCATTCTGCAGGAATTGGATGATCAGCCAGGAAATCCGCTAAGGCTTGCCCCTTGATGGATTTCTGTGGTACATAAGTGATCTCAAACTGTTGAAATAATAAATACCACCTCGCAAGTCGATCGGAAAGAACAACCTTTGCCATGACATACTTCACTGGATTTGCCCTGGAAACTAGTCGAATTGTATGTGCTTCAAAATAGTGCTTGAGTTTCCGGATTGCGAATACAAGGGCCAGACACAACTTCGCAATCGGCAGATATTTGAGCTCATTTGACGTCATCATTCTACTTAAATAATAAAGGGCATTTTCTTTCCCATTATCATTTTCTTGTGCAAGTAAAACACCCACAGAGCTTTCTTGGGCGGAGATGTAAAGGATCAACGAGCGTCCCGGAATTGGAGCCGTCAGCACAGGCGGCTTCATTAAATAAGACTTGATGCTTTGGAAAGCATTCTTGCAGGCCTCATCCCATACAAACGGGACACCCTTCTTCATTAATCGGCTAAAGGGCTGACATCTTCCTGCTAGGTTTGATATGAATCTTCTTATATAAGCCAATTTCCCTTGTAAGCTTTTAAGCTCATGAAGGTTCCTCGGCTCAGGCATCTTCATTATGGCGTCGATCTTTGCTTGTTCGATCCCAATGCCCCTATGTCGAACAGTAAACCCAAGGAATTTTCCAGCAGCGACCCCGAAAGCACACTTCAAGGGGTTCATTTTGAGTTGAAACTTCCGCAAGCGGTCAAAGACTTGTCTTAGATGAATCATGTGATCTGCGCGAAGTTTCGACTTCACAACCAGGTCATCTACGTAACATTCCACCATTTTATGCAGCATGTCGTCAAATATAGTCTGCATGGCCCTTTGGTATGTAGCACCGGCATTTTTCAGACCAAAGGGCATCACTTTGTAGCAGTAGATACCTTTTGGTGTACGAAACGCTGTAAACTCCTCATCTTCTGGCGCCATGCGAATTTGATTGTAACCGGATGAGCCATCCATGAATGACATGATCTCGTGTCCAGTTACGGCATCTATCATTAACTCTGTGATAGGGAGTGGGAAGTCATCTTTCGGGCATGCAACGTGAAGATCTCGGAAGTCTACGCACACACGGATCTGGCCATTCTTCTTGCGCACAGGAACAATGCTAGATATCCAGGTTGGGTATTTAACTTCGCGAATGAAACCAGCCTCTATAAGCTTGTTGACTTCTGCTTCTATTGAGGGAATGAGCTCGGGGCGAAAGCGCCGTTGAGCTTGCTTAATAGGGCGACACCCCTTTTTCACTGCCAAGCGGTGCACAGCTACCTTTGGGTCCAACCCTGGCATCTCTTTGTATGTCCACGCAAATACATCAATATATTCTTTCAAAAGTGTGACATATGTTTCTTCGTCTTCGTTGGAAAGGAGTGAACTAATGAAGATAGGTCGAGGACTTTCAGGAGTTCCTAGATCCACCTCCTTTAGTTCGTCCACTGCGGCTTGTACCCCTTCTTCTAACTCTTGAGGCGCATCCTATGCGTCTTCACCCTCGGTTGGAGTCTCATCGTATAATGTTATATGAAATGACGATTCCATCTCATCTTGACTTGGTGTTGCCTCACAACTTGGATCAATGTTTTCTTGATTCCTTCCTTGCACTTGGGTGTGTACAATGGTTCTTGGTTGGACTTTCAAAACTTCGCCATACGAGACATGAATATCAACTTCTCGTCTCATACGAGACGGAACGGCACTCCTGAGCCTTTTTGAGGGTTCTATTTCAGTAGGAGGGTTGGTTTGCTCTTTTGAACTCTGAGTAGGCCCGATTCTGTCATGTACTGATTTTCTCTTAACCGGTTTGGGATTCGGCCCAAGTCTACGGAAAACTGATTGTCGTGATTCTACATCTCCGATTCTATCAAAAACAGACTGCTTCTTGTCACTTTCTTCCTCATCTGTAGAAGTGATGCAATTACTTGTGGCTCTGTTTATGAATATTCGCACTGGCTTAGGGGGAACATAACCCAACCCTTTCCGTTCATGCGGTTCCTGCTGATTTGACTTGCCTTTCCCACCAGCTTCTGGGATGAGTTTCCCCAGCTTCTCTGGCTCTTTGGGATTATATCCAGCTTTGAAGAGAAGTTTATAAGCATTAGGGTCGAAGCCGCCAGTGCGCTTAGCGGGCACTGTTTGACTTGTCCCAACTTGAACTTCATCTTTAAGCGGTTTAACTGGAGCTGCTTTTAATGTTTCAATCCTTGCAAGTGGGAACACAAGTTCCTTGTCGCAATGAGCTTGGTCTACAACCTGCTTGCTTTGCAATAGGTGTGTCAACCTTGCTTTGCTCAGCCTCCTCTACAACTTGTTTCTTCAAATAAAACTTTGCATCTGCAAAGTATGATTTTGCTTCGATGAAGGGAGTTTCATCAGCGACTACCTTTTCTATCACCTCGCCTTTTTCAAACATGAGGCATTGGTGCCAGGACGAGGGAACTACTCCATTCTCATGTATCCAAGGCCGGCCCAGCAGCAAGTTGTAGGATGTCCTTGCATCTATCACATAACATAGTGTACTCGAGTTTAGTGTTCCGATCCTGAGGTCGAGTCTGATGGTACAGAGTGCTCTTTGTCCGCCTTGATTAAATCCTTGAATCATTAAGCGGCTTTGAGAGAGCTCATCGGTGGAGATGCCAAGTTCTTTCATAGCTCGGAGTGATAGAATGTTCACAGCCGACCCTTGATAAATCAAAATCCTTTTAATCTTTTGCTCGCGGGCATAACCTTCAACAAACAACGGACGATTATGTGGTGTACCACCAAGCAATAGATCTTCATCTTTAAAAGTTATCTCGGCAGTATAAGACGCGGCTTTGTGGACTTGAACCTCGTCGCCTCCTTCAATCACGGGGAATGAACATTCTCCCTCTTCAACATGACTCTCTTTAATATTCAAGCGAGTTTCATAAATGTTTGTACCATGCGGAGGAAGCGCCTTTGGCATGTATTGAGCCAGGGCAACTGGTGGTCGAGGCTCGCCGGGACGTCCTTTCATCTTTGTGTCATAGGCGGGGTCCGTTGCTGGGTTTCTCTCAACCCATCGCTTTGTTATTCTCTTCAAAGATCTAACGTGTCCAGCATTGTTCATTTGTTTTTTGCGGGTAACAACTACCCAATCCTTCTCGCATATCGGATTAGCCTGTGGTGACTCTGGCAGTTGCCTAGTAGCATGTTTCACAATGAATGGAAGCGGGCGTTTGTATTGCTTGCCCCCATCTTCTTCATCACTCTCTACAACCAACGGAGTGAACCTTCCGTATGAAATTTGGTTGGTGCTGGCAGTTGCATCAGCCAGCTCAATCTTTCCATCACGAGCAAGCCCCATCACCTTATCTTTAAAGACAAAACATTTTTCAATTGGATGTCCGAGGAGACGATGATACTTGCAATAGTTGGGGTCGTCCACCTTAGAAGCTTCTTCGGGACGCTTCATCTCCGGTAATTCAATTAACTTGAGTTTAAATAACTCATCAAACATGGGTGAAACATCAGAATCCAGGAATGGATACTGCTTTTGCTACATCTCTTCAATGATTCTAGTACCCCGAGATGGGAAATGACCTCGGCCTTGGATTTTCAGTCACTTTAGTGAAAACCCGCATTGGTGATGCTCTCACGTTCATGGCCTCCTTCTTTTCTTGCTTCGGGAAGGGCTTGCCCCCTTTCTTGAATTCTTGTTTTACAGGTGCCTTGGATGAGCTAGGGATACTTGACATGCCGAGCCCTCCATTGGCTTCAATACTCAACTCCATATCGTGAGCACGACTGGATAGTTCTTCAAATGTTCTAGGCTTGATTCCCTGCAAGATATAAGAGAGATCGAAGTGCATCCCTTGGATGCACATTTCAATTGTGGAGCTTTGTGATATCGTCTCTTTATAGTTAAGGCATAACTCCCTCCATCTCTCGATGTAAGCGTCCGAACACTCACCCTTCCATTGGTGGGTAGTGGTGAGTTCCAAGAAACTGACAGTCCTCCTGGTGCTGTAGAAGCGGGTCAAAAACTCGCGCTCCATATCATTCCAGCTGTCAATGCAACCGTGCTCCAGGTCTGTGTACCAATCAAAGGCAGTGCCCTTCATAGAGCGGACGAACTGCTTGACAAGGAGATCTCCGTATGTTCCTGCATCATTACAGGTTTCAACGAAGTGGGCGATGTGCTGCCTCGGGTTGCCTTTTCCATCAAACTGCTGGAACTTGGGAGGTTGATAGCCCAGCGGCATTTTCATTTCTTCAATTCTCTGAGTATATGGCTTAGTGTAAGTATATGAAGATTGTCTTCCCTCGAGCTTCCCTTTAATTGCTCCCATGATGTAGTCGTTCAACTGGTCTACAGGTATCATGCCCTCAGAAATTGGAATACTCTTCTCAGCGGGTGGTGGACGAGAGATTGTCTCTTCCATTCCTGGCCTACTTTGATGGCGCGGGGATTCGAAATCAATCTCATCTTCTTGGGTTTGAGGCTGCTTCCCGGAAGCCCGACTTGTTTCGCCGTTTCTTCCGCTTTCGACCTTTTCGCTGAGCTCATTGATCCGCCTTTCTTGGTTATGCATGAGCGCAGCTATCCCCTCGAGAGATTTAGTGATGTTTGCGAGTTGTTCCTCCACCGAAGCCGCGTTCGTTGTCATAGCGGGCATGATTGTGTATCTGTGACTCCATTCCGGTGATGTTCTCTGCGGAAGTGATGACTGTGATGAGCTTCCACTGCTTGGAGTTTTATTCGGGGGAGTAGGGCTCGCAGGACTCTGGTTGCTGGGAGCTCCCTCACTTGAAGGATTCTTGTTGTTAGGAGCTCCTTCGCTTGAAGGATTCTTGTTGCCAACAACCTCCATTGTAGTGGACGACCCCTTGTTACGTATAGCTCTGCGTGGAATGGTGGAGCTTCTGTCAATCCTTCGAACGATGTGGCGAGCGATGTCCTGGGCCCCGTGCAGCTGCACGCCCAGGTTCCTCACTCGGCTTCCAGTCATTGCCCCTTCCACATTTTGGCTATCACCGGAACCGGCTACGGACGATGCCTTGGAGCGGGTAGCTTGAGCATAGGTCATTTTGGAGGACGGATTTCTTGATGCCATTTCGATTCCTTCCTTATAGAGCAGCGAATCAACAGTGAAGAGATGAGAGGCAGAGTTGTCCCACTGGGCGTACCAAAATCTGTAAACACAAAAAAGCAAACTTTGTATATATTCACAAAATTTCGTGTACAGCGTGTGTGTAATTCAATGCAGGTACAAAATCTCTATCTAATCCTCTGATTCTTCACTGACGTTATCTATTGAAGTGCCTCCGGGATTCAAATAGCGTAGCCTCCGGGATTCAAGTGGCACGTGCCTCCGGGATTTAAGTGGCGTAGCTTCCAGGATTTAATTGGCGTGACTCTCAACAACGAACGTTAAGAATTTAGAAGTAATCAATCCTGCAAAATTTCAAAAAAAACACATGCAATGGATTCAAGCCGCCTTAAGGTCCTCAAATGCCTTCAAAAAAAGACTTCAGGATCTTCGGGACAATCAATTCTGCAAAGCTCCAAAGTACATGCAATGGAGTCAAATTGCCTGCAAAATATTCAAAAGATGCCTCCAAGCCTTCAAGCATTCTTCAAATGCTCTCAACTCCTTAAGTCTTCAAGTTGTTCAATGCCTTCAAGCTCTAAGCCTTCAAGTTCTTCAAGCTTTTCAATTGTGTTTTGGAATGAAAATGAAGGCTCTATTTATACTAGAAGCCTAACCAACATTCCTCAACAAACTCCCCCTTTTTAATTAATTAATTAATTAATTAATTATTTAGGAAAATGAACCTTACCCAGAATCAAGTCTAGGTTCATTATTGTATAATCAAATTCAAATTCAAATTAAATTATAATTATATAATTCAAATATAATAAAATTGTATTATATTTAAATTATAATTATAATTTATAATTCAAATATGAGATGGGCTTGGACCAATTAATTAATTAATTCAATGGCCCAAATCAAATTTAACTGGACTCATCAAATTAAATTAATTTCTATGATCCAATTAATTAAATTGGCCCAATCATCAGTCTCAATATTGACCCAATAACACTTTAATCGGCCCATTTGATGAGTTCAAATTTTCCGTGTCTACAGATAGCACTTCTCGATTCAAACCAACCAAGTAGATAAATCGGGAATGTCTTATTAAGTCAAGTTTCTATGTAATCAAATATCTCAAATTTTGTAACTATAAAATTTGGCTATTTGGTGTATATAAACATGCTGGCATGTAGTTCAAGTGAAGAATAAACCAATTGAACCCTGCATATTTGTCGCTATAGTAACCTTTATTGTTCCCCTACGGCGAAGATGGTTATCGCAAAGATATTATATTTTCTTATGCATGACACGAACATCATCTTGGTGGAAAGATAAGAATTAGCCCCAAATTAAAGAGTATTTCTCATTTTATATACATGAGAAGGTAAATGAGAAGCATACATTGTTGTATGCTAGGATGTTATTCCAACAATTCTTGGTTGATGCATATACAATGATTGAATCTGCACGCTTGATCTACATTACAACTCATCAGAAAGCGTTGCGTTGTGAAGCTTATCAGGGGTTGAGCAATGCGTTGACAAGAGGAGAATTAGACCCCACAGCTCGGGGTAAAAGAATTATACTCTCATCATCAATTCATCATTCACAGGTAGAGCTAGGTGTATGATTCCGAACTATCAAGATGCAATGGCAATATGTAAGCACATCGGTTATCCATACATATTCATTACATTCACCAGCAACCCAAAGTGGCATGAGACTGAGCGGTATGTTGCACACCGTGGCCTTAAAGCAGAGGATAGACCTGACATCATTTGTCGTGTGTTTAAAATGAAGCTTGATGTGATGATTGAAGACATCAAAACAGACAAGTTGTTTGGCAAGATATTTGGAGGTATTTGAAAATCATACATATTTGAATTTTCCATCATCAATTCTAATTTCCCTTTTTAAACTTCAATTGTTCATTTTTGCATTCTCTTTGCAATTATCTACATGACTGAATTTTAAAAAACAGGACTCGCCCACGCGCATATCTTGCTATTTGCCAAAATAATGAATAGGGCAAATTCTGCGAACGAAATTGACGCCCTGATCTCAGCTGAAATACCATACCCAGATTTTGATGTTGAATACCATGACGCAGTCAGCGAATTCATGTTGCACGGACCATGCAGAGAGCTCCAGAAGAATTCGCCGTGCACGGTAGATGGTAAATGTTCAAAGTATATTCCAAAAAACATGTTACTCATACAATTTTGGATAAAGATGGTTAACCAATCTACAGAAGGCGTGACAATGGGCGCACAATCAGTAAGAATGAAATCGAACTTGATAACCATTACGTCGTCGCGCATAATAAACAATTTCTCCTAAAATATCGCGCACATATTAGCATTGAATGGTGCAACCAGTCAAGGTCTATTAAATATTTATAGGGTCACGACAGAATTTATGAATAGTTCAGCGAATGCTCTTAATGGTGATGTGGTCGATGAGATTAACATGTACTACGATTGTCGCTATATATCAGCATGTGAAGCCATGTGGTGACTATTTTAGTATTTGAAAAAAAAATATTTTTCATATTTTTAAACAGACCCTTTTTTTTATTAGTTTAAATTTAATGAAATATTAACGAAAATGACTAATACTACCACTTTACTTTAGAGTAACTAATAGACAAACAATTGACATTAATATAAGTGAGTGACTGGGTCTTGCCTAAGTTGTAACTTACCAAGTACCTTGTGCTCAGATGTCACCTTTGTAGCTCTTCTTGAGGGAAGATCACAAGATTGAACTCCGGTGGTGGGGTATTAACTCTTTGAACTACAATAGTTAGAGAAAATATAGAAAAGATACTCCCTTGTAACAGAGGTAACTTAAGAAGAAAATATGTAATTTTCCTTTGATCTTAAAATGTTTATTCTGTAATAATAAAACTCTTTATATTTGTTGTTTTTTTATCCATGAATTAACTAACCTAGCAATATATTCAAAAGAGTTGACTTAATAATAATATACAAAAAATAATCTAAATAAAAATCATATCAAGTAACAAGTTTATAAATATTAAAACCAAAATGTGATATTATTAATTAATCAAAATTTAACCTAATCCAGTTTTCTTTAATTTCGTAACAACCAAGTATGGACCCACCTCGTAAGTTGTGCATTATTGTATATATTAGTTCAAACAATATCACATTTTGGCCGGTTGTAATATTTATAAACTTAATATTTGATATGATTAGTTTTTTGGTTTATTTTTTGTATATTATTATTAAGTCAACTCTTTTTAACATATTGTTAGGTTAGTTAATTCATGGATAACAATCACCAAATATAAAGAGTTTTATTATCACAGAATAAACATTTTAAGATCAAAGGAAAATCACATATTTTCTTCTTAAGTTACAGCTTAGGTAAGACCCGGTCACTCACTTATATTTATATATATCAATTGTTTGTCTATTAGTTACTCTAAAGTAAAGTGGTGGTATTAGTCATTTTCTTTAATATTCATTAAATTTAAACTAATAATCAAAAAAAAAAAAAGAAAAGAAAAAGAAGCAACAAAACAAAAAGTGACCGTCTAAAAATACGAAAAATGTTTTTTTTTTTTTCAAAAATAATTTCCAGGAAATGATTCATTTTTCCTGAAAATACTTATTTTTTGTTATTTGGCTAAAAGTCGAAAAGCGTTCCTTTTTACATTTAGGTAAAATTTTTATTTCTTTTTTGTTTGATTCATTTTTTACAAAGTTATTTCTTATAAAATATTAATTATTTTAAAGATGATAATAATTATTATTTATATTAAAATAAAAGTAATAAATTAAAATTTATAATAATTACAAAGATTATTAATAATTATAATAAAAAGAAGTAAATAAATAATTTTTAATTTGTGTGTTATTATAATAAAAATAAATACATAAATTGATGATTATAATAATTCTGAATTAAAGAAATTGAAGAAAATTCTTTTTTTTTTTTGGGGGGGGGGGGGGGGGGGGGGGGGATTGTGGGCCGGTTAGTGTCAAGATTTTTATTATATGGTTGGGTCCAACCGAACTCATATTTAATCAGATCAGGTATTGATAATTGTAATAACTCTAAATTAAGAAAATTGAAGAATATAATTTAGTTTTATTTTTTTAATTAAGGTTGTTTGTTAGGCCAAGATTTTTATTGTTGGCAAATTATGCTGTGGACTCGTGACCACAATGTATACGGGACACGAGTTTAAAACTACGTCGTTTTCAGAAAAAATGCAGCATTCTAGTTAAAAAAAGAAAAAAAAATTGATTTTGTCTCGCCGTTAACGGTGTTAACGGCGTTATTCGTTGTGGCATTATGAATGTACAGTTATGGAATTATGAATGTACAGTTATGGAATTATGAATGTAAGTTATGAAATTATGAACACAGAGCTCTGACATTATGAATTTACAATTATGAACATATAGTGTTAAAATTATGAACATAGAGCTCTAAAATTGTGAACATAGAGCTCCGAAAATTATGAATGTACAGTTATGGAATTATGAATGTACAGTTAGGGAATTATGAATGTACAATTATGGAATTATGAATGTACAGTTATGGAATTATGAACACATGACTCTGACATTATGAACTTACAATATGAACATATAGTGATAAAATTATGAACATAGAGCTCTAAAATTGTGAACATAGAGTATCGAAAATTATGAATTTACAGTTATTGAATTATGAATGTACAGTTACGGAATTGTGAATGTACAGTTATGGAAGTATGAATGTACAGTTATGGAGTTATGAACACAGAACTCTGACATTATGAACTTACAATTATGAACATATAGTGATAAAATTATGAACATATACTCCTATAACGAAGCGGTCTGAAATTTAAAAAATAAAAAAAAAATAAAAAAATAAAAGTGGGAGATAACGGTGCCACTAACGGCACCGTTAATGTGTCCACAATGCATGCTGGACACGGATCCATAGCATAACGATTGTTTATTGTTTGGTCCAACCCAGCCTAATCCATAATTTAATCGATCTGTTGGATACAATATCCAATAATGTTTTAAATTAAGTAGGCAAATTATATTATGGACTAGGGTCAACATTCAAATCTGTACCACGGATAAATGTTCAGTTTTAGTATATTGAATTTATTTTTAATATAGTAAAAGTTCATTTTTTAATAGTATATATTTAAAAAGGGAAAATCACCATTTTGTTGTCTCCATTCTTTCTCAACTGTCAATGTAGTCTATAATTTTCAATTTCAACTAATTTGATCATCGAATTGTTTAAAATTTCGTCAATTAAACCCTTCCTTGGGGCCAAAATGGTGATTTCCCCATTTTTAAAATTTTGTCAATTTGATCATTGAAGGGTTTAATTGACGAAATTTTAAACAATTCGAGGATCAAATTAGTTAACATTGAAAACTATGGACTACATTGACAATTGAGAAACAATTGAGGGACCAAATGTTAGATATATTAAATATAATATATTTAATATAATGTATATTAAATATAATATAATATATCTATAATATATATTAAATATAATATATCAATATATTATATTTATATATTGAGAGAGAAGAGAGAGGAATGAATAATGTTATTTGAAGGGATGATTAACAAATGAATACAAACCACATATTTATACTAAATGAAAGCTACTAATCAGGAAGCTAATGCTCCATGTACTAATGCTATAATTTAGGCCACTCTTCACATACAATGCATGACCCACACCCATTACTTTCATTATTTCCAACAAATTAACTAATTATTAATTACTTGCTTGGTTTAATAATTATAATAATATTATTATTATAACATTGCCTCCTTTAAACCAAGTTGGATATATTGGTCATTCCAATTTCCTTCTTCAATTTGAGAAATGTCTCTGTCTTCAGCGACTTCGTAAAGATATCTGCAACTTGACATTCACTTGAACAATACTCAATGTTGATTTGCTTTTCAGCAACCAACTCTCTGATTTTGTGATACTTGATATCAATGTGTTTGCTGCGACCATGAAAGACTGGATTTTTGGACAACGATATTGCTGATTTGTTGTCACCAGAATCCGTGCATTTGACATACAAAGTGTGTTCATGAGGACATCTCACAAAACCACTTTCAACAAAATATGAGTCAATGCAACCATACCACGCCCTAGGCGCTTGCTTTAAGCCATACAAGGCTTTTCTCAACCTGTACACTTTATTTTCCTCCCCTTTCTTCAGAAATCCTGCAGGTTGCTCAACATATATTTCTTCTCCAAGAAAACCATTCAAAAAAGCAGACTGGACATCCATTTGATGCAATTTCCAATCATTTTGAGCAGCAAGAGAAATAACCATTCGAACTGTATCAAGTCTACTTACAGGAGCAAAAACCTCAAAATAATCAATACCTGGTTTCTGCTTGTAACCCTTTGCTACTAACCGTGCCTTAAAACGGTCAATTTCTCCATTTGACTTGTACTTCGTTCTGTAAACCCACTTCACTCCAATTGGCTTCTTTCCAGGAGGTAAATCTGTTAACTCTCAGGTACCATTCTTTTCAATGGCACGGATCTCCTCATCCATCGCCTTAAGCCAATGAGTTTCTGTAGCAGCCTCCTCAAAAGTTAAAGGATCACAATCTGCAAAGAGAGCAAATTGAACAATTTCTTCATCAGACAGGTCATTATCATGACCCAAAACATAATCTTGCAAGCGAGCTGGTAAGTGGCGCTCGCGCTGAGATCGTCGAACTGACGACTCTGGCTGTGAAGGAGACTGGACATTATCTGGAATCGGTTGCTCTTCAACAATATTTTCAACAGCAGGAATAACAACTGAACTTTCATCTTTAGCTAACCAATCCCAGGCACCATATTCATCAAAAGTGACATCACGACTTATAACAACCTTTTTAGTTTCAGGATTGTATAGTTTATAAGCCTTTGAAGCGTCACTATAACCAATGAATATGCACTTCTCACCTTTATCATCCAACTTCTTTCTCAATGGATTCGGCACGTGGGCATATGCCAAACATCCAAAAACCTTGAGATATTTGATAGAGGGTTTTCTCCCACTCCAAGCTTCTTCGGGCGTCTTATCACGGACACTCTTAGTTGGACACCTATTCAACACATAGACAGCACAAGCAACAGCTTCTGCCCAAAAAGGCTTAGGCAGATCCTTAGATTTCAACATGCACCTTACCATATCCATGATAGACCTATTCTTCCTCTCAGCCACTCCATTTTGTTGTGGAGTGTATCTAGCTGTCATTTGGTGCTGAATACCCTTTTCTTTCAGAAAATTATCACAAGCAATATATTCTGCACCTCTATCAGTTCTCAAGATTTTAACTTCATAACCACTTTGCTTTTCAACAAAAGCCTTAAATTGTTTGAAAACATCACATGCTTCAGACTTTTGCTTCAGAAAGTAAACCCATGTTTTCCTACTGAAATCATCAATGAAAGTAATAAAGTACTTACAACCTCCATATGAGGGAACCTCCAACGAACACAGGTCTGAGTGAACAATCTCCAACTGTTTTGTGGCTCTCCTTGACTTGCCCACGGGAAAGGGATCTCTATGCTTCTTCCCAATCACACAAATCTCACAGATACAATTAGGGACATTCACAACAGGTAAATCAGAAACAAGTTCCTTTCTCGCAAGATAGTTTAACCCAGAAAAATGAAAATGCCCAAACCGCATATGCCATAACCAATTATCATCACAAACTTCAGAATTAAAGCAAGCAAGGAGAGTATGCTTAATTTTCAAAGGAAATAGTCGATTTTGGGACATATTTACCTTTGTAATCAAAACTCCTTTAGCATCTGCAATGGTACAACACCCCTGAGCAATATGTATCTTATATCCTTTTTCTGACAACTGACCCATACTCAACAAATTTTGGTGTAGTTCAGGAACATAGAACACATCGGATATAAAATTGTGAGTACCATCCTTCAACTGAATAGAGATTTTACCTTTTCCCAAAATTGGCACCTTTGACTTATTGCCAAACGTTACTTCAGACCGGACTGATTCATCTAGTTCGGAAAACAATTCTTTCTTCCCACACATATGGTTACTACACCCAGTATCCAAGAACCATATGTTCTTATCTGCAGAAAAACTATCGCTGGCTAAAAGTAAAGTTTCAGAACTCTCACCAGACTTTTCAGCAGTGTTTTCAGCAATGTTTGCTTGATTTCCATGATTGTTGTCCTCATTATACCAACAATCTGCAATCTTGTGCCCATACTTGCCACAATTGTAGCAATGAAATGGAAATTTACCTTGTTTGGTATTACCTCCACCTCTTCCTTGGTTGGAGTTACCACGTCCTCCTCCTTGGTTGAAGTTACCACGACCTCTTCCACTAGAACCTTCCTCTTCTCTTCCTCTTCCACGACCTCTACCAGATCCTCCACCTCTTTGATTAGTGCCAGTCACATTAAGGGTGACTTGACTCTTCAAAGCTTCTTCTGCTAGTGGTTCCGATTTTGACGCAATCCTGTCAATATGACTTTCTACCATACCTTTCAGCTCTGCAATTGATAAGAGCTCGGTTTTGTGTGACTCTGTTATTGAAGCCACCACATGGTCATACTTCATCGGCATAGTTCGAAGAACTTTTTCAACCACTGCACCATCTTCAATCGTATCTCCATATAGCCTCATCTTATTCACCATATCAATAAGACGAGTGAAATACGCATCTACTGTTTCTGTAGAGGTCATCTCACAATTATCGTACAACCTTCTCAACGACTGCAACTTAGACTTCTGCGCCCGATCGACTCCTTTGTGTGACACCTTTAAGATGTCCCAAGCTTGTTTTGCTGTTTGAGCACGAGCTAATTGCCCAAAAATGGAATAATGAACACCTTGGTGAATCTGACCCAAGGCCAATTTATCTCGCCGTATAGCGCCTGCATCAGCTCCTTCGGGTAGACCGGGATCAACAAAGCTCCAAAGATTTTGAGCTTGCAAATGTGTGGACATCATAATTTGCCAATAATTGTAATCGAGGTTCCCGTCCAATTTGGGACCCGACCATACAATATTGAAATTTGTGGCCATAATTCACTATGAAAAATACCTCGGGGTTGAAAGGTTGACTGGCTCTGATACCAAATGTTAGATATATTAAATATAATATATTTAATATAATGTATATTAAATATAATATAATATATCTATAATATATATTAAATATAATATATCAATATATTATATTTATATATTGAGAGAGAAGAGAGAGGAATGAATAATGTTATTTGAAGGGATGATTAACAAATGAATACAAACCACATATTTATACTAAATGAAAGCTACTAATCAGGAAGCTAATGCTCCATGTACTAATGCTATAATTTAGGCCACTCTTCACATACAATGCATAACCCACACCCATTACTTTCATTATTTCCAACAAATTAACTAATTATTAATTACTTGCTTGGTTTAATAATTATAATAATAATATTATTATAACACCACAACAGTTATTTCACCTATTTCAAAATGAACATTTAGTACAAAAAATTAACATTCAATGTACAAAAAATTAACATTTAATATACTAATAATGAATCTTATGTTAATGGTTCATTTTGTTATGTGGACCATGATCCGTGTGGGGGGGCCTTAGGGAGTTAGGGTTGAGATTCAGCCTTTTGGAAGAATGATTGTCATTATTTATACACAAAAACAGGACTTATTAATTATGGGTTTAATTTTGAGTATAGTATCCTATATGACATGTGATTGATGTTTACTTTGATTACTTAAATTGCTAGGAGCAGCTCATTAGGTGTATAAATAAAGACAAGTTGATTAGGTTAATCACCCATTAATTAATTGGTTGTTACGTTGTAGAATGGGGTTAGTGGTGGGATTAATTAATTTGGGAGTTAATTCCAGCAAAGGTCATCTGACTGTAGTGATTTTTCACATTTAGTTCTCGTCTTTTAATTTGGACAAATATGACACTTGACTATCAAAATATTTCCATCATTAGTTCTTCCGTTACATTGACGTTATTTATACATTAAGTTTAGGGGTAAAATTGTCCTTTGAATCTTCTTCTTCTTCTTAGAGTAAAAAATTATGATAAATAACACCAATGTAACAGAAGGACTAATGGTGGAAACATTTTGATAGTCAAGTATCATATTTGTCCAAATTAAAAGACGAGGACTAAATGTGAAAATCACTATAGTCAGAGGACCTTTGCTGGAATTAACTCATTAATTTGGTAAAGACATCTATCTAACCAACCGAGCTGAGGGATTAATTTGGTGTATATATTTGCAGCAAAAACCGTGTTGATTCACCCCACAATTAAGCAAATCAATCTTTAATTTGTTCAATTGGTATACTTACTCAGAAGACACAATCTTTGTTTTGCCATAGTTATGGCTGATGCTATCGTTAATTTTGTAGTTGGAAAGCTGAAGGAGCAAGCGTTCCAAGAAGTAATATTTCAGTGGAGAATCAAAGCTGAGGTGGAGAAAACCACTGCTCGGCTAGCCAACATGAAAGGCTACGTTGAGGATTCAGGCAACTAGGCAAGGGAAAATTAAACAAGACACCAAGTAGCAGAGAGCTGCGCGACACAACTGAGGGATACCACACTTCAATTTGATAATGACATCCATATAACTAAACAATGGACTAATTTGGTGGAACCCTGAGAGCTGCAGTGTAGGAGTTACACTCAAGATGGTCTATAATCGTGCATTTGAAGACATAAAATGTGCATTTGAAGGTACAAAGATGTGCAATAGAAACAATTTATGGTATCAAAATGGAAGTTATTCAACTTAAGTGTTATTGAAGCAATTACATTTAGAAATTGTTTATAAATCTCACAAATTTCATTAGAAATTTAGGTATACATTGTTTTAAAAAATGCAAAAGATATAATAAACATTAACCCATCCATAATTGTGCACTTGAAGGCCAAAATTCTGCACTCGAAGGCGCATGTTTCACCTGGCTCACATATATATATGAGAGCCAAGTGAAACATGCCGGGAGATGAAGGCATTGATCTTGCCAAAATCAACGTCCAGGATGAACACAGATTAAAAAAAACGCGGTGGCAATTTGTTCTTTTTATGTATTGGTCAAACTTAAGGTGCATAGTTTTTGTGCTTAAGGTGCGTCGTTTTCCTTCTTAAGATGCGTGGTTTCTATGCTTAAGGTGTGTCAGTTCTTCAGTTGAAAACTTAAGGTGCGTTTTTTGTTTAAACTTAAGGTGCACCATTCTAAAACTTAAGTGCATCTTTTCATAGCTTAAGGTGCGTCCTTTTAACACTTAACGTGCGTCATTTAAACATTTAAGGTGCGTCAGTTATACATTTAAGGTACATAAGTTCTCCACTTAAAGTGCGCCATTTTAACACTTAAGGTGCGTCTTTGTAACACTTAACGTGCGCCATTTTAAAAACTGAAGGTTTGCGATGTTAAGACTTAAGGTGCGTCATTCTAACATTTAAGGTGCGTAACTCTAACACTTAAGGTGCGCCATTTTAAACCTTTGTTTCTTCCTTCAGGACGCACATTTTTTTTTTTTTAATTATCATTGATTTGAGCCGTTGATCTAGATTTGATCAACGGCTCAGATCTCACCCCATCTTTCACCTGGGATAGTCTTTGCACGTGAATTGATCCCTATATATATCAGGTGAGAACCATGCCCTGGGTGAGAACCTATGGACAAATCCAAACCATCGATCCAGTAGATCTAACGGTTGAAAATAAACAAAACTTTGTAATATTTATGAAAATGACCCCGCTCATTTAAAAAATTTGTAATGTTTATGAAAATAACCCCATTCATTTTTTACTTGATTAGGGATGACAATGTGTCCCATCCTCGACAGGGATCATCGTCCCTGTTGGAAACGGGGACGAGGATGGGGAAAAATTTCGGGGATCAGGGACGGAGACGGGGGAATTTATGAAATTCCCTGCGGGGGATGGGGATACCCTCCCCGCCCCGCCCCCCGAATAACTATATATATATATATATATATATATATATATATATATATATATATATATATATATATATATATATATATATATATATATATATATATATATATATATATATATATATATATAAGAGCGCTCATATGTGATCATGTCATTAGGTGTAGCGGTGTGGTCGTATCTGTGTCGTTGAATCATTTTAATCTAACGACAATGGCTAATTCTGAGGATTTGAGGATTTTCGCGCGTTTTGGTAAGTGGGGGTGTTATAGTAATTATAGTGGCCATTTATAGCGGTCGGGTTCCAGAATACACCTACAGTGTTAACAACATGCACCAATAGTGTAATAAAACACACCACAGTGGAACACACCAATAGTGTATTCCCGAACACTGAATGGTGTATTTATTCATATCTAATGGCGTGTTTTGGTGATGCGTACCTAATTTGTGTATGTTTTTTGCTGTGCATTTTATAACATGGATGGTGTATATTTGTATAACAATTGGTGCGGCCGCACTGACCACACAGGAAGGCGTTGCCGCACCTGAACTTGGCACCAATGGAAATCTACAAATACACCATAGTAAGGCTAATAATGCACCAATTACACAAATAAAACACACAATAATGTGATTTCCCTTATTCCGGTGCCCTATGACGAATTTATCCTTGCAGTTCGCTGGGTAGGAGAACGTGCGCGAAAATACTAGAAGAATCTTGATTAATGTGATTCATTGGATCTATCTAATCTAATGGGCTGTAATTGACCATATTACTACACCTAATAACATGACTACACTTTATCGCCCCTATATATATATATATATGCTCAATAATGCACAACCTACGAGGTGGGTCCACACTTGGTTGTTACGAAATTAAAGAAAACTGGATTAGGTTAACTACTGATTAATTAATTGTGTGCACTATTTTTAGTTGTTTTTTTATGATCTTGGTTGGAATTCAGTGAGGACACTGACTCTTTGTACTTTAATAGGTTGAGAAAGTATATATGAACATACACTATATTATAATAAAGTCAGTAATACTAAAAAAAAAAAAAAACCTAAGAAGAGTAATAATATCACATTTTGGTTTTAGTATTTATAAACTTATTTTTTGATATGATTTTTATTTAGTTTATTTTTTGTATATTATTATTATTATTAAGTCAACTCGTTTTAACATATTGCTCATTCGTTATATCATACACCGTGGTGCACATGTACCTGTAAAAAACAGCGACGTTTCTTTAAGTAAATAAACGGCTCGCTGTTACCGTTAACGGAGTTCGCATGTTTGGTGTATTAAACACCAACTGACACTACATTATATCTAAACCGACACTGCCCCTCGACAAATGAAACTGCAGTTATATCAAAATGATACTGTAGTTGTGGTGAAATGAAACTGCAGTGTATATAAAATGAAACTGAATAACATTTCACATATTTGAGTGTATATTGTACAATGAAGCTGTAATTATATTATATCAAAATGATCATATTGTTTTGTTTTAATAAAACTATAGTGTATATAAAATAAAATTAAATAACATTTTCACATATTTGAGTTTATAAATATCGAATGAAACTGTTGTTATATTGAAATGAAACTGTAGTTGTGTTGAACTGAACTGTAGTTATATCGAAATGAAACTGTAGTTGTGTTGGAACTGAAACTGTAGTTGTGTTGAATTGAAACTGCAGTGTATACAAAATGAAACTGAATAACAGAGTTACTTTTTGCGGATGGGTGCGGAACGGCAAAAAACGAATACCGTTTCTTTTCATTTAACGAAACGACGTCGTTTTGATGCGCGGTGCATAATTGATTATGCACTGCGGTGCACGATATAATTTGCCCATATTGCTAGGTTAGTTAATTCATGGATAACAAATCAACAATTATTAAGAGTTTTATTTGTGGGCCTATTAGAGTAAAAAAAATTATTATTTGGTTCGGTCCGACCCGCAAATTATGCCGTGGAAACGTGTTCACCATGCGCATGGTGAACAGTGAACACAGTGGTAGATCCATAATTTTTATGTTGTAGATTCATAATTTTGTTTTTCATTTGTTGTTAACCACGTTTCTCTCTTCGCAATCACATTATTTTGTCTTCGTAGTACAGATATTATGAATCTACACAGTACAGAAATTATGAATCTACAGTATAAAAATTATGAATCTACAATATAAAAATTATAAATCTACAACTTGAAAATTATGGATCTATTCCGTGTTCACCATGCGCATGGTGAACATGGTTCCACAGCATACCTATTAGGTCCGAGCAGACTCATATTTAATCAAGTATTGATAATTGTAATAACTCCAAGTTAAGGAAATTGAAGAACATAGTTTTATTTTTAAAATTAAGATTATAGGTCAGGCCAAGATTTTTATTGTTTGGTCCAATCCAATCCATAATTTAATCGATCAATGATAAAAGTAATGGCAAATTATGCTGTGCATCATGGTGCATACGGATGCGAAAACGACGTCGTTTTAATAAAGCGCGCGTCTCCCCTTAAAAAAAAAATCAGGTTCGATTCCCAGCAACAACATATGAACTAAAATTTCATAATTGATGAACTATAATTCCATAATTGATAATTGATGAACTATAATTCCATAATCGATGAACTATAATTCCATAATCTAATCTATGAACTAAAAATTTCAGAATGAATGAACTAAAATTCCATAATCTATAAACTAAAATTTCAGAATCGATGAACTACAATTCCATAATCGATGAACTATAATTCCATAATCAATGAACTATAATTCCATAATCTATGAACTAAAATTCCATAATGAATGAACAATATAATGTTGTTGCTAGGAATCGAACCTGAATTTTTTTAAAGGGGAGACGCGCGTGTTTTAATAAAACGACGTCGATTTGGTATCCGTATGCACCATGCATGGTGCATACAGATGCACAGCATAACGATTGAAAAGTAATAAGTCTAAGCAGTGGCGGACCCAGAAATTCTTTTCAGTGGGGGCAAAACACATTAAAACAAAATAGATAGTTTGATTAAAAAAAAACATTTAAAAGTATAGCGATAAATATTGTTGGATGTGGACGAAAAATAAAACACATCAAAATTTTATAAAAAATATGAAACATAATTAATTTGATAAAATAATTCGAATAAAAAAATACATTATAAACACATCTCATTATTGGTATGAAAGAAAGTTATATATATATATATATATATATATATATATATATATATATATATATATATATATATATATATAAATCTCACAATTAATTAATACGAAGTGTTTAAAAGTCATAGAAAATAATTAATTATAACTTGAACAATTTGCTGCCAAAGTAACAAGGGACAAATCTGCACAGCAGCAGAAGGATTCAAACCCTGGCATTTGGCAAAGATAACGCACCCCTTACCACCTGATCTACTCATCCTTTGTTGATTTTAATCTATTTTATTATACTTATACTAAAACTTGTACTATATATACATATATACATACAAGGGTTATATATGTGGTGGGGGTGGCGTGAGAGGGGGCAGCTGACCCCACTACCCCCATGCTGGGTCCGCCTCTGAGTCTAAGCTAAAGAAACTTAAAAAAAAAAATCATTGCTTTTTAATGTTTTTGATTATCAGTCAGGTTGAGCAAAGATTTTTGTTGTTCGGCCTAGTCCAATCAGACTCATATTTTAATCGAAATAACCCATACCAGTCTATTTTAGTCGTTATATCATAGACCGCGGTGCATATGCACTACGGTAAAAAACGGTGCCGTTTCTTTAAGTAAAGAAACGGACCCGCCGTTATAGTTAACGGAGTCCGCTTGTTTGGTGTATTAAGCACCAACTGACACTACAGTATATCTAAACCGACACTGCAGTTATATCAAAATGATACTGTGGTTATAGTGAAATGAAATTGCAGTGTATATAAAATGAAACTGAATAACATTTCACATATTTGAGTGTATATTGTACAATGAAGCTGTAATTATATCAAAATGATCATGTAGTTGTGTTTTAATGAAATTATAGTGTATATAAAATTAAATTAAATAACATTTTCACATATTTGTGTCTATAAATATCGAATGGAACTATAGTTATATCGAAATGAAACTGTAGTTGTGTTGAACTGACACTGCAGTGTATACAAAATGACACTGAAGAACAGGGTTACTTTTTGCAAAAGGGTGCGAAACGGCGGAAAACAAACACTGTTTATTTTCATTTAAAAAAAAAAGACGCGCGGTGCATGATTGATCATGCACCGTGGTGCATGATATAATTTGCCAGTCTATTTGATTACAATCGTTATGCTGTGGAATCATGTACACCTTGCAAGATGGACACGGTTCTATGTTCATAATTATAAAGCTATATATTCATAATTATTGGACTGTATATTCACAATTAAAGAACTCTATGTTCATAATTACTGAACTATATGTTCATAATTATAAAGTTATATATTCATACTTTTTGAACTTCATATTCACAATTATTGAATCTCTACATTCATAATTACAGAACTATATGTTCATAATTTTTGAACTATATATTCATAATTATGAACAGTTTTGGAACCGTGTCCACCACAACATAATTTTCCATTTGATTAGGCAAATTTGATCGTGGACCATGGTCCATATAGCAATGTGGTCCATGAAGTAAGTATCATTATAATTACACTTCAGTTTTATTTGACAATATTGCTATTCTTTTCAATTTCATTCTCCACACACACAAGTTTCATTGTAGCAATAGCAAATGATCATTTTAATTCTACTATAGTTTCGATCAGTTGACAATATACATTATTGCATAAGCTCTATTTTGTAGTTTCATTTTGTTGAAAAAATTGCTTGTATTCTGTAATACATTTGAGATACAACAAAAATACAAAAAAGATCAAGGAATAAAACCTGGATCATTTGATATCTTCAGGCGTGTATCACTTTCCTATAAGCTTTAAATCTCCCCCTGAAAAAGCAACAAGGTTCAAGATTTAATCTTATGGGATACAAGAAGATGAATAAAATTCTGAAGTTGCTTTTTTTAAAAATTTCCTGTAAAATTGTAAGACTATGAAATATCTTGGTGTCCTGCAAGTTGATTATGCATCAATTGCCTGTTAATTTTCTTGTATCTTTCAAATGTCTCTCCAAAAATTTATATAAAATATTTTGACTTGTTAGGAGAAGTTATGTGGAAGTTACTGGCAGTTTAAAACTTCAACTTCTAAAAAATATATATCAAATGATATATCATGCATGGGAAATATAATTATATGAACCATGTATAACACATACATTTTCATAATAAAAGTGTACCTTAATATATTATATTTTGCATGCAAAATATTTTGCATGAAAACAAGTGAAAGTACTGTACATACATAAACCATATGAAAGCTTGCATTTAAGCCACGTACTTAACATGGAAAAAGCCATCCGAATGTCAAAGTACATTTCCCAACCGAATTGATTTTCCAACCGAGTTGTTAATTTGTAATATCCACCGATTTGATAAGTATGAACTTAATTCACGAGTTGTCAAAGCCAACGAGTTGTTGAAACAACAGAATTGATTAAAACAAAAATTCCTTAAAAATCAATGATCCGTTAACACCAACGAATCGTGCATGTCAACTCATCATTCGAATGGTTAATTTAACTTTTCGTAAATTACAATTCCAAGTCAATGACTCAAAAATTATTATCTCGGATATTAACGACTCGGTTCCAGAACTGAGTACTTTTCGATTCTAACCATACACTACTAGAAATTATGGAATTTTCGACCACCTGAAAGTGATCTTAAATCAAGTTGATACCAAAAAGTGGTCGGAAATAGCAACAAAGGTTTTTCCGGATACCAAAAGTGGTCGGAATAAGACTTTCGACTTGATTTAAGATCATTTTCAGGTGGTCGGAAATTTCATAATTTCCAGTAGTGATACGTGATATTCATATTTCTCAATTTACTTTTCTACCAAACAAAAATAATATTTATAACTCCACAATTCCAAATATTATTTTAAACGTTCCTGGTAATCCATTGAAACATTAATCTCCATTACTATATAAATTTCTAACACATTTTGCCCACACACTAATTTAATTATAGTAATATTAAAATGTATATTATTGTATGACTCTGGATTTTAGTTTCATTTTCCACATACACTGGTTTCATTATAACAACTCTAAAGTATCATTTTAATTATAATACAGTTTCATTTGACAATTACGTTGTTGAATGTGCTCTGTTTTTTAGTTTCATTTTACACACACACTAATTTAATTAGAGCAACACTAAAGTATCATTTTAATTATACTACAATTTCATTTGACAACCATGATCAACATCGCACTGTGGACCATGGTCCACTGTATGACGACCGGTTTGATTATCGGTCAGGTTGAGCCACGGTTAAATGTTCATTTTTAGTATATTGAATGTTTATTTTTAATGAACTAAAAGTTCATTTTATAATAATATATATTTAAAAATGAACATTTAGTACAAAAAATTAACATTCAATATACTAATAATAAATCTTATGTTTTTATTTTTGAATGTTACTACCCTATTACAATGTAGTATCTGTTTGTAAATTACTTTAATTTCTCAACCAACTGAAACACAAAGAGTGAAGAACTTATTAATTTACTTTGATCATATAAATTGCTAGGAACAGCTCATTAGGTGTATAAATAAAGACGAAGTTGATTAGGTCAATTACCCATTAATTAATTGGTTGTTACGTAATTTACGTTGTTGACCAATAATGCAAGTTTAATTAAATATTTTGAGGGGATTAGTGGAAGGATTAATTAATTTGGTAATGTCATCTTTCTCACCAAACGAGGGATTAATTTGGTGAATGGTGTATATATTTGCAGCAAAAACCATGTTGAGTCACCCCACAATTAAGCAAATCGATCTTTAATTTGTTCAATTGGTATACTTACTCAGAAGACACAATCTGTGTTTTGCCATAGTTATGGCTGATATCGTTAATTTTGTATTTGGAAAGCTGAAGGAACAAGCTTTCCAAGAAGTATCCCAAGAAGTAATATTCCAGTGGAGAATCAAAGCTGAGGTGGACAAAATCACTGCTCGGCTAGCCAACATGAAAGGCTACATTGAGGATTCAGGCAAGGGGAAACAAGACACCAAGGTAGCAGAGAGTTGGGCGACTCAACTGAGGGATACCGCATTTGAACTTGAGGACTTGGTGGAGGAATTCATGTTGGATTCCAAGCTTCTGGAACTCAATACTCCTCCCTGCAATTTTTGTCAAGTCAACTCCCTCTTTGCCAACGTGCAGAGCTTTGCCAAGAGGGTGAAGATACAGTTTTGCTTCCATCAGCAGTTAAAAGCCATGGATGAGAAGCTACTTGTTCTAGAAGCAGACAAATCAAAGTACGGTATAAAACTCAAAGCAAATGACGGAAGAAATGAGTTACTGATGGGCAGTGGGAGTGGATATATGGAGGGGATAGAAGCAGTGGGGATCGACATGGAAGTCAACCGGATAGCACAACTGATTGAGAAGCGTAGTGGTGAAGTGAAGTTGATCACGATTTGGGGAGCTGGAGGTTGTGGGAAAACTACTTTGGCCAAGCAAGTTCATGAAAGAGTCATGAAGGATCTCATGGCCACCAATATTGATTATTGTTGGTGGGTTGATGTGAACCACTCCTCAGATATTGAATATGTTCTGAGGACAACAATCAATGGGGTGTATAAAAGTGTTGGAACCAAGCCTCCTGCTGAACTCGAGAAAGCAGATACAAATTCTCTTCAACAACATATTCTTGATTACTTGGGGAGAAAGAGGTATGTTGTATTTTTTGATGATGTTTGGGATCATGATCTCTTGGCTAACATAAAACTTCCAGGCAACCGTGCATCTTCAATTATCGTCACTAGCCGTTATGAAGATATAGCCAATGGGTCTTTTCTTGGGGCTTCACCTCATTATGTTGAGGTGAAGCCATTAGAATTTGATTTGGCATGCACCCTTTTCTGCAAATTGGCTTTTTATTCCGACAGCTGGCCTAATGGGCTTGAAGAACCCGGAAGAGCATTGGTTGGGAAATGCACAGGTTTACCTGTTGCAATTCTTGCAATGGCTCGGTTGATGTCCACAAAGGGTGATGATCCATTAAAATGGAGGGATGCTCTCAAAACCCTTGACTACTACTCACATGAATTTGAAGCAGGTGGCAGTCTAACATCTCTCAACAGAGCCTTGTTGTTGAGTTATTATGAACTGCCAACTCACCTCAAGTCATGTTTCTTATACTGTGCAATGTTCCCCAAAACATATGGCATTCGTGCCAAAAGGTTGATCCGCATGTGCATTGCGGAGGGGTTTATCAATGATGATCCCCATAGTGGCAGAACACTAGAGCACATAGCAAGGGATTACTTCCTTCAGCTCAAAAATAGAAGCTTGCTTCAGATCATTCCCAATGAGTACAATGGTAAGGAGTTGGGAAGAATTGAAATGCACGACCTTTACCGTGAGGTGGCGCGTGAGGTGATTAGAAGGGAAATGTTTGCTGAAATCATCAAATTGAAGGAAAGTACCAAACTTGAGTGGAAGCAAAGGCGTAGTTTGATCATCCTGGAAGTAATGCAAAAGGTTGAGCTTGACAATTGCTATGAAAATATGAAGAAGCTACGTACACTCATCATCAACCACTGTAAAGGGATTCCTCTGAATTCATTCCCTCAGATTCTGCAAAACATGAAGTTGCTAAGAGTTTTGGTGTTGGAATGGTTACCTGATGGTATGGAGGAACTGCCCAATGAGGTTGGGGATCTAATTCATCTTAGGTACTTAAGGTTGAGTGGTAATAGGGATATGAGACATCTCCCTAATTCGTTGGGAAGATTGCACAATCTACAGACATTGGATTTAAGACATATTTGGGTGCGGAGTTTGCCTAAATGCGTGTCAGAGCTTAAGAAGCTGAGACATCTCTTTGGAAGTTATAGATTACAAGTGCCAGATATAGTTTTCACATTTTCTCAGCTTCAAACATTATCTGACATACTGATTAATACCATCCAAGCAAGAGAATTAGTAAACATCCCACAACTCACTAAGTTGAATATTATTTTCAAGGAAGGGGAGGAATGCTGGAGAGCAATTTGTGATTCTGTCAAAAAAATGACAAATCTTCACTCTCTAACTATTCAAAGTGATGAATTACAAGAATTTATAAATTTCTCGCCTCCCCTTTCTCTCAAGAAGCTCCAGCTCTTTAGGTTTGGAAAATTGCTAAATTTTATTAGCACTCCTAACTATCTTCGCGTAATTTATATACGTATGTGTGATGTAGATGAAGATTTCTTCAATAGTTTGGAGAAACTGCCAAGCTTGTTGAATCTCTACATTGAGAGTTATAGTGGAGATCAGTTATTGTGCAGTGAAGGGAGCTTTCCAAAACTCAAGAAGCTAGAGATAGTGTGCAGGAAGCTTACCAAGTGGGAAATAAGAAAAGGAGCTATGACATGTCTTGAGTCACTATCTATGGAGGAGTGCAATTGTCTAGAAATGCTTCCAGCAGGCTTGAGAGAAGTTGAGCATTTGAAAAAATTGCATCTATTCCGCCCATCTCAACAACTTGTTCAAAGTATAAGTGTTGAAGGCTCAGATCGATGGAAGATTGAACATATACTAAGAGTTACTATTCACCGCAATTATGGTGAAAAACCTTTTCCATTAAAATAAAAATATTATTGACAAGCTAAGAAAGATTAATAACTTTTATTATTTTATGCTTTGAGGTTGTTTTCAATTCTTTCAAATCTTGTGGTTATCATTGTTGTCTTGTTGATATTTTTTTGTATTTAAATAATTAATTTTTAACTTTTTGTATTTGTACATTAATTATTCCATTAGTTATATGAGTTCATGCCTCATTGTATGATATATACATCCCACTTATTATCATAAAAAAAATTTATAAATATTTGTATCATGCAATTGGTCAGAATAAAATTCATACTTATTCTTCTAATTTTTTTATTAATAATGTTTCCATAGTTACACTCTCTCCCCCAGGATATTATAATTGAAAAGTAGTCATCTCATATTCTATATTTAACTATCAAGTCTCACTTGTGTTTTATTATTATTATTATTATTATTATTACTATTACTATTACTACTACTATTACTACTATTATTACTATTATTATTACTATTTTTATTATTTTTTTCCCATCCAAGGTCTCCTCTAAGTACTTCTCCAATGGGCAGATCATGTACTTGCCAATTCATTTTAATCTTATAAATAAACCAATTAAATTTCAAATAGTTCGATATTAATTGTAACCAAGTTGATTCATTATCACTTTTCTAGCATAGTGGATAAGTCACCCAAAAAAAGTAATTAAATATAATCAAAGCAATATTATTTTAACTTTGTTAAAAATTAAAAATAATAATAATAATAAAAACTGACGAGATTATCATGCCCTGTTTGGTAAATGGTTGTTAGCTGTTAGCTAATTGGATTAATTAGACGTATAAGTAGTTGATAACATTAGTTGATTGTAGAAAGGTGTTTGGTAAATTAGCAGTTAGCTGATAGTTGTTTGGTATATTAGCTGTTAGTTGATAGCTTGTTTGATATAATTTCTTTTCTCAAAAAGTTAATTGAAAAAGTTGTTTTAAGTAGTTTTTGAATTTTAGCATTTTGGAGTACAAAAAGCTAATTAACCATACACTCATATTGATTTTTTAACCAAATCAAACAGCTAATAGTAGTCAAATAAGCCAAAATTAACCTATAGACTAACTATTTTACCAAACAGGGCCTAAACCGACATTAGTGTGCTAATTTTTTGTCTTTTATTTCATCATAGTGTTTAAAGTATAAGGATCAAATAATTAATCAAGATTTAAATAAAGAGACAGTATTAGTTTTTTTTTTTTTTTTTTTTTTTTTTTTTTTTTTTTTTTTTTTTTTTTTTTTTTTTTTTTAAAGACCATATTAAACATAATGTTACAGTATATGTACTTTAATTTGTGTGTCTAAAAGCATCCCAAATAGTTGTAGTTTTTGAGAAACTTTTGTAGGTGTGAGTAAGAAAGATAATATGGAAGCTAAGAGGAGAAAAAAGAAAAAAGAAAAAATAAACAAATCTAAAAAAATGTCAAATTAATGCGCCCGACTAGGCGCTATGGTTGCACCGCACGCGACCAATATTTACACATGGTGGGGGTCACTTCACAGACTAAAAATCAGCTTCTTGCATGGAGAGCATAATTCTTCTCTCTCTTTCCTCCACATAGCATTGCCTCCTCAAAAATCACACCAAAAACTAGTAATGGAGATTCCTAAGGGCTTAGGAAGAAATTTAATTTTTTTTTTTTTTGTTAGAAGACAAATTTCATCCAAAGCACATTTTCAAATAACGATTGACTATGCACCCGTGGCCAGCCCTCTGCAACTATTTGCAGCCCGTTTTTTACCCTTTTAAGGGGATTTTTCCACCCCAAAACATATCTTTCATTCCATCTTTCATTTCCCTTTCATTTCTGTAGTTAGGGTTAGTTTAGAATAGCTTAGATTAGTGTAGGTTTGTGTTTCCTTTCCATTTCCAAGCTCAAGAACATTGCAAATCTTGGATTTCAAGGCTTCAATAGAGAAGTTTTCTTATTCATCTCTTCTCTTTACTTTTCATCTATGCTTTCAATTTCTCTTTTAATATTGTGTATCTATTGTTATATTATGAGTAGCTAAGTGTTTTGGGACTAGGATTTGGTTTGATTTCTTGCTATTGATGCCTATTTGAGTTTTATTGCATAAAGGGGATTATTTGGGTGATCTAGGGTTGTTGTGTGAAATGGGTTTGTTGAGAAATTTGTGTATGATTGTTGGATCCCAATTATATGCTTGATTTGGAGTGTGTTTGTTGCTATGAGAGTAGAGCTTGTACACTAGCCACACATTCACACACGTAATGCCCAATACGAGAGTATTTCGGGTATTAAGGAGATTTTATGCCTTGTGTTCTTGCTTGGGCAACCTTGGGTTGAATTGCCACGAGAGTGGAGTTTAAGGTTAGGTTGCAAGTCCAAATAGCTACGAGAGTGGTATTCGGACACTTTTGTGCATCTCACTTACCCTATGCCTTGTTTAATTCCCTAATCTTTAGTACAATATTTGGCATCTTAGCTTGAATCAACCAAGTCCCGGTCCTTTGTATTACTTGTCTTATTTGTTATTAGCTTAATCATATCAAACCAACTCTTTATCGATAGGTCTAGCTTCTAAAAGGGTAGTTTTAGCTTGTGCTTAACTCCACTTTACATCAATTCCTAACATTACAAGAGCCATCTCCAGTGGAACGATATCTAAACCCTATACTGTAATTTGATACTTGATGGATGCGTGAAAAATGTCATCATCATATATTTAGCCCCATATGTTCTCAAGTAAGTATTAGTTATGTTTTAAATAAAAGTACTTATATATAATATATTTTTATTATATATTATATTCACTTAAAACTAATAAATTACTTATTTGTAGTGAACATTGGATGCTGATGGCGATTTGTCCTCGACTAAATGAAATTTTTTGGTTTGATTCACTTGGTCATGGGTCGCGTGAAGACATTAAACATATAATGGAAACGTATGTAAATTTATATAATTATATTAATAGTTATTATTAAACTAGTGATGCCAAGTATTTATATATATTTTATGTCTTATATTAATAGGTGTATGGCTGCAACAAGCATGTTGAATGAAAAGAAACAAAATCGTTCACCGAAATGGAGTACGTGTTGGGTAAGTACTTCATTCACTTTGTAAAATATGCAAACTTATTGGTTTTTATTAAGTTTTTTTAATTTTATTGTAATTCAAATGTAGTGTGCTATACAAAAAGGAACCACCGAATGTGGTTATTATGTGATGAAATTCATGTTGAAAATTGTTTCCAACAACCTAGGGAAAAGAATGGATAAACTAAGGCAAGTAATTTAATAATATTTCTTTCTTCTTCAAATGTTTAAAAATACTTGTTTATCTATTATTTTTATTTCTTTTGAGCTTTGTAGACTTTGGAAAGACAAGGAAGATTGCCCTACAACAAACAAGAGATTGATGAAGTTAGAGACAAATGATCTAAGTTTCTTATTGATGAATGGGTTAATAAAACGCTTCTTAGTTGATACTTTATGTTTAAAATTAGTTTATTTTTATTGGCTTGATGTTTAGTAGTTTTGATGAATTTTGTTATTTATATTAGTTTCATGTTTAGTAGCTTGAATTAGTTTAATGAATTGTGTTCTTTATATTAGTTTCATGTTTAATTAGTAGCTTGAACTAGTTTAATGAATTGTGTTATTGGTAGGGAATATCCCGACCGACATAGCTTCACCACGGCCGAGAAGCCTTTGTCCTTTTCTCTTTGTTTTTGCAGGTAACAGGTCGGGCTCCTTGTGAAGAACCCGGTCGGGGTCCGACCGGGAGTTGCCCGAACGATGATGTCAACCACCGAGCGGTAGCCCTTTGGCGAGAGAGCTGACGAAGGACACGTGGCGGCTCTCTACATCGACAGGCAGGGCACCCGGGAGGATGACACGTGGTGGCTACGTGGAGGACATGCCGAACGGCTGGAATCCTATCCCCGGCATAACGGCTATAAATACCCACAGTAGCTACAGTGTGGGGGACTTTTGGACGATCGATAGGTTGTTGTTAGAAAATCCCGACCGCACTCAGTCGGTACTCAGAGCAACCAAGTAGATTGTACTTAGGGCATTTACCGTGATCAATAAAGTCTTTTATTTGCTTTAAACGATCTCGGGTATTTCATATTGCTTACGTATAATTAGCAGTATCATTTTGGCGCCGTCCGTGGGGACAAGCTGCAACAAAGCTACGTCTTGACGAGCACCCGGTCTCTTGGCAACAATGTATCCGTGGGCATACAACAACTTCGCCGACGACCAAGCCGATGCGGCGAGCTCATCTGACCATCACGCTACCCAACAGCAAGGTCAGACGGTCGATCTGAACCTCAACCTCTCGCCCCCGCATCCATCAAACACATACCCGGCCGCCCAACAGCCGGTGAACTACATACAACCGGGATTTCAGACGCCCGGTCAGCAATACCAGCAACCAATGATGTATCCCGGTCAGTATCCGTACCCGGTCCCACCTCAACCGTATGGGTATTGGCCAGGCCAACCGATGTATTACACTCCTCCGGTTGGTTACCCACCGTTCACGCCTGCGTACACGGCTCCAGCCGCCGCCCCTCCAGTATACCCGGCCGCTCAGGTAGAGCCGCAGCATCAGCCCATTTCCCGGGCTCGACGCTCGGCTCGTTCGCGGTTGGGGTCGGGGGGTGCTGTTGCGATGGAGGCACCACGGCAGGCCCAGCAAGCAGAAGAGGTCCCCGCCCAAGTGGAGGAACCTGAAGAAGTTGCCCGAGCGGTAGCTTTCGACCGTCTTCGACCGGAAATGCGGCAAAGATTGGGACCCCAAGATCCGAATCGCCAACCGGAAGACGTGCACATGCAGGAGGCTAGTCAGGAGGCTTCATCTGGTCATAGCGGGTCGAGATCGCACCGACGGCGACGCGCTCGGGAAACAGCCCAAGCCGTCCAAACCGCCGAGCTCAACGAAACCCGAGGATTGCTCTATAACCTCCAGGCGGAAGTTGCGCAGCTCAGGAATGCGTACCCTGCGACACCCCCGGTCAACCAATCGACCATGCACCAGACGCCTTTCACAGCAGCGGTAATGGCCCAGCCTTACCCGCTTGACTTAAAGGTCTCTGGAGAGAAGAGTTATGACGGACGGGCAGATCCTGAGGCCCACGTGAATGATTTTTTCAGCAACATGATGCTGAAGGGCGTTTCGGACGCCGTGATGTGCAGGGCCTTCTACTCGACCCTCACCGGTCGGGCAGCAGAGTGGTTCCGAACCCTGCAACCGGGGTCGATCGATAAATTTGAGACCCTGGCGATCAAATTTGTAAGAAAGTTCATCACTTCCAAAGTGGTGAGAAAGTCCTACATGTATCTTGAGAAGGCCAAGCAGCTAGAAGGGGAAAGCTTGACCGATTTCCTCATCAAATGGAAAGCAGCGGTCGGGGAGGTCGAGCCCATGGACGATGCGACCGCCACCCATATGCTTCACATATCTCTCCGGGCGGGACATTTGTATCAAGACTTCATCCTACACCCCCCGACCAGTTACGAGGAGGCCCTTCGGAGGGTCACAGACTATGCCAACGCCGGCGAGGCGAACGCCATAAAGCGCTTGCAGGAGGTCGGCTCCTCGTCCCGTAAACCGGCCGGCCGGGCGGAACATCGGTCGGGAGATGACAACCCCTGATCCCGCACCAGGCCTGGCGAGTTTACGGCCTTGAATCGATCCGCAGCGGAGGCCATGCAGTACGCCCAGTCCTGCAATCTCATCAAACTCCCCCATCCCGATCGAGACGGCCCTGACAAGAGTAAGCACTGTGCTTACCATCGATGCGCCGGGCATGACACCGAGGAGTGTACCCACTTACGCCAGTTGTTGGAAGATCTGCTTAACATGGGAAAATTAGACAAGTGCGTGGGGAAGAGAGAAGACAATAAGAGGAATACCGATCGGAGAGATCACAGGCGTTCTCATCACCGCTCCGATCGACCAGGGCAGGACCGAAGAGACGATCGAAGGGACGATCGTCATGATGACCGACGGGACCCTGACCCTCCGTCTGGTAGCCGCCCGTCCGGAAAGCCTACCATCCATGTCATTTTTGGTGGACTGGAAGATGCTTCCCGACCGCGGACTAATTGCCCGGTCGCTATAGTGGATTCCCGGGAGACCGGGAAGAGGCAGAAGATGGAGCCCATAACCTTCACCCTCGAAGACCAACCTAGCAGCAGTGACCACGGCATGGAGGCACTCGTGGTCACGATTGACGTTAAGGGGACAGACGTCCAGAGGGTTATGGTTGATACGGGCAGCAGTGTGAACGTCCTATACTTGGACGTCTTTGAGAAGCTTGGCCTCGACAGGAAGGAGCTGACTCCGGTCGGTGTACCACTGTCAGGATTTACCGGGGCTCTTATTTACCCCGAGGGAAAAATAGCGCTCCCGGTCGAGATTGGCGCACCTCCAAAATCGATCAAAACGGAGCTGGAATTTGTTGTGGTCAACCTCCATTGCGTCCACAACATAATCTTGGGCCGACCCGCCATTATGAAGATCGGTGGGATAATTTCTATGCCTCACCTGTGCATGAAATTCCCCACCCCCAATGGGGTCGGGGTGGTCCGTGGCGATGTCCAATCCGCCCGGAAATGTTACACCCGAGCGGTTAATAGACGCGACTCCGGTCCGTCTTCCCGGGTGAACACCATAGCCAAGGAGGAGGCTAAGGATCGGAAGGAACAACCTGAACCTTCCGAAGAAATAGAAGAAGTTCCCCTGTCCGAGGACCGCCCGGATAGGAAGATCAAGATTGGCCGAGCCCTCACCCCCAAGCTTCGAGCGGAAGTTTTGGCCATACTCCGGGAGTATGCTGATATCTTTGCGTGGGGGCCTGAAGACATGCCGGGGATTGATCGATCGGTCATCTGTCACAAATTGGCCGTCGATCCCTCAGCCAAGCCGGTCGTGCAGAAAACACGACACCTTTCCTCCGATCGCCGCGAATTTGTCAGAGAAGAAGTCAAAAAGATGGCGGCGATCGAGCACATCCGTCCGGTGGTCTATCCCGAGTGGGTGGCAAATATTGTGCTTGTTCCTAAGCCCCCAGCATGGAGGATGTGCATCGATTTTACGGACCTCAACAAGGCCTGTCCGCTCGACCCGTATCCTCTACCGAGCATTCACCAGATGGTCGACGAGACGGCCGGGGCCGAATTAATGAGCTTCATGGATGCCTTCAAGGGGTACCATCAGATCATGATGCACCATGAAGACGAGAGCAAGACAGCTTTTGTAACCCCGGACGGGCTGTATTGCTATCGAGTGATGCCATTCGGCCTCCGGAACGCAGGAGCGACCTACCAGAGGATGGTCAACATGCTCTTTGCCGATCTATTGGGCCGAACGATGGAAGCTTACATCGATGACATGCTGGTCAAGAGTCGGGACCGGTCCGACCACACTCGGGACCTCCGGGAGTGCTTCCAGATCATGAGGAAGTACCAGTTGCGGCTGAACCCGACCAAGTGCACATTCGCGGTTCAGACCGGCAAGTTCCTCGGCTATATGATGACCAAGAGAGGAATTGAGCCCAACCCGGCCAAAGTAAAAGCGATTCTGGACATGCAACCACCTTCCACCATTCGGGAAGTCCAGCAATTGACCGGTCGGTTGGCAGCCCTCAGCCGGTTCCTCTCCAAGCTAGCCGAGCGCGCTCTACCTTTCTTCAAGGTATTGCGGAAGGTCAATGGATTCGTCTGGGACGAAGAGTGCCGAGCGGCTTTTGATGAGCTGAAGGAATATCTCATGTCATCGATCGTGCTCTCAAAGCCCGAGCTCGGAGAAGAGCTAGACGTGTACCTCGCCGTTTCCGATCGTGCAGTAAGCGCAGTGTTGTGCCGAACCGATCCGGAAGGGGTCCAGCGACCGGTGTACTATGTAAGTCACGCGCTACATGGTCCCGAGCTCCGGTACTCCCAGCTAGAGAAGGTCGTCTACGCCTTATACATTGCCGCGAAGAAGTTGGCTCCCTATTTCCAAGGTCGAGCAATTCGCGTGTTGACCGATCAGCCGATCGGGCCAGTCCTCCGAACTGCTTCATCATCAGGTCGC